ACTTTATTAGACAGGGTAACACCGTTACCATAAATGATAATTTTCAGGTGGCCCTCGATAAAATATATACAAAATAGAATAATAATAATAAATAATAGTAAAATATATATACATATCAAATCCCCTCCCCGCCAAACCATCAATGCCCCCTCCAACCCCCCATCCACCCCCTACCCTCCCCCACGCGACGACCCTCCCGCAACCGGGTGTATATGAGACTTCGGTTGGAAAATGGCGGAGATGCTCGTTGCACCTAAGGCTATGATTTGATCACCTCATTAATAGGGAATCACCAAATTCAAAGTACCACCAGAGAGAATAAAGCCCGCGATACCTATAATATCAGTTGTAATTCAGGATATTTATTCGCGGCTTATCTGGCTTGTCGTTTAGAAAATAGATAATTGATATCTTTGAGGGATTAATTTTATTAGCTGTCACGCCCACCTATACGTCGTCTGAATGGTTTGATTAGACGCGCAATGCATTTTAGGGTTTACTTACGCCCAATCTCGTACCCAGAGCCTGCGTTTCTTCTGGCCTGCAGCGAAGAACGAGGGCTCTGGCATAATCCATTTTTGGCGCATGCGCAATTTTCGAATAAGAGATATATAACCGATCAAAATAATCAAATTACAAATTAAATCAAAGCAAAAATCGAAGTAAAAATCAAAGTAAAGATCATAGGAAAAATTAGAAATCGGGAAAATATTTTTAATTTTTGGCAAGTCTTTGAACGCATGCGCTGTTGAACCGGAAGTCCAAGAAATCCTGGTCTCAAAAAATGGATTATGCCAGAGCCCTCGTTCTTCGCTGCAGGCCAGAAGAAACGCAGGCTCTGGGTACGAGATTGACTTACGCCCACATTTTTCAATGCTTTGCGCAAGCGCATTAGAGGGAGCAGCCTGGTTTTTCACTAAAACTGATCTAAAGTAGCCAATTTATATACGTCAACGGATCGATCTTTATCCGAATTGCAATGCATTGTGGGATTCCCGTACGATAGGACACACTGAGGATGCATTTTTGTTTCCAAGAGATATGATCCATCCATTAACTCACTCGTATGTTCATTGATTGCACAATATTCTAGTAAAGATATAAGACTCTTTGTTCTGTACAATTCCCTACATCATGGTGTTTTCATTTCACTCACTCTAGACTTTTCTATTTTTAGAGGAAATTGATAAAAGATAATGCAACTCGCGCTCTTTTTGGCCCTTAGATTTTTCTTGCCTCGTAAGAACATCTTTTTGGGGGCTCTTTTACATTTCCACAAGTTAAATTTCACCTGTATCAGACGCTGGACTAGTCTTTCAGGTCTTTACCCTGAGGTTATGAGCAAGAAATAGTGTTTCCATGACACTAGGATATCGAATACTATGTCAAAAGGGCAATCTTGACTTGCGACAAGATTATGACGAGATGTTCGGTCTGAAGTCAAAGTAAGCGTCACCAAGCCGCAGTAGTTTGCTCGATGGTTGCTAATATTCATAGTCATGCATGGACCTGAAAATCACCCAATTATTCTCCTGGTAGTAGCTTCGATAATCGTCTCATGCATTGGTGCAGGAATTTTTAGTGTATGGGCCACGTACGATGTGATACCGTCGAGTCTCGACAACCGCTTCTTCAAGACGAGTTGTAACGTGAACAGCACTGTAGAAATCAGTAAAGAAGAAGAGAAATGTTCTTGTTTTGATGAAGGGTTACTGTGCTCTGATACTTATCCCTGCCTAGTGATTAAAGTACTGGTTAAAGCCAACAGGAAATCTAAGAAACTCATCCTGTATAAAGACCTGACGAGTCATACGTTCTCTTCAAAGGTAAGACTTAAATTCGTTCCTTTTTGACAGTTTAAAGTCTTAGTTTGAAGACTTATTTAAATTCTCTTTGTTTAGTAATGAAAATTAAGGGGGAAAAACAACTAAATTGATCAATGTATAGTGATGGTTGAGTTAGAAGCCTGACCAGAGGGCCGAGAAGGAACATAAGAATATTGGATTACGAAAAAACACCTCATTTGCATAATCGTATTTTCGAGAGTTGATGTAAATAGAACTAATAGCTATTTATCGTGAGCTTTCTCGTGAACTATAATAGTTTTATTTAATTACCAGAGGTTTGCTTACGGTTTATACAATTAGCAGCAAAAATATGATAGTAATGGGATCATTGCTTACACAGCCGTCGTCGTTTCTCGTTCATATGTACTTTATTTTTTTCGTTCATTGTTYGACCTGCGTGCGTGTAGGACTTGCTTAATCGATAAACCAGCTGTGTTTGATCTTATAATAGCAACACACCACTGCACATAGTACTTTGAGATCCAATAAAGGAGAAAAACGTTTCTAAGGCAACACTTAATCGATTGAACTATTAATCAGAAACACAAGAAATTTTCCTCGAGCAATGTCGTGTAGTTTTAAAAGGACGTTGGGTGCTTAATTGGAAAAAAAAGATTCACTTGGTTGTGTCAATGGCTCCCGAGCCATCTGATTGGTTAATCAATATTAATGGTATAGATCAATAGCGATAGATTATAGTACAAACCCTAAATAGTGCTAAAATATACTAATTCGATTTTTATTGTGTAATTAGTGCTGAAGGGTGCAAGATATTGCACGCTTTAAGTGTTTGTATTCTTCATGGCTAGAAATAACAACGATATAATGTCGTGGCCCTATATATGTTTCGTGCTCTCGGGGGAAACAATTGAACTGAAAATCGCGGAAAACAAGATTTTTTTYCCCATGGCGGATACGAATAATAGTTCAATTTTATCGGCAATAAAACATTGTAAAAAGTAAAATTACGGCATTTTTTCATATTCGGCCGAGCTGAACCTTATAAATCATTGTCAAGCTTCTTGTTGTTTTCGAGCTAAGTTCGGTCAAGAAACGATCAAACGGCTCGTTTGAGCGATATTATCACTGGTAGATCTTCACTGTTATTGGCGGCTTTTTCATTTGTCAGGGAATCTCGACAGTCGCCGTAGGATTCAATTAATAATAGATGTTTGCCGATGTTTTTTGCCTTGCTTTTCACATTATTATGTGTGGCGCATGCGCATAATCCAAGTATACCGCTCAGGAGGACTGGACACAAACCACGCCGAGTTTCTTGGGTCGTCCTTCACGAATTTGCAAGATGTGATCCTATTGGAGGGCGCACATGTTTAGAACAATTGAAAACAATGACCTTTCCCCAACCCCGCCCCTAAACCTAACCAATCACAGGGGAAGTTGCAAATTCGTGATTTTTTTGACGGAAATCAAAAATAATAATTTCATTTACATGATCTCGTTATATCTTAATAGRTCAATGGACAGTAGATCCCTTCCAGGATCTATAAGGCGAAAGGCACAAGGGAGGGGAACTGCAATTGTGCAAAAATGTATTTCAGTTGACGTATCTTTTATTTTTGTTTGTCTGCACATGACAATCCGTTAGTGTCGTTTACTTTGATCGTTATATATCTGTGATTATTATAACATATGATAACTGTTTTTATCCTGACACCCATGACACCGATTTCCTAGCTATTTTCTCTTGGTCGGCTGACATGGGATTTAGTCCTTTCCTCAAAATCTCCGCAAGCTGGCATATTGAATTCCCCGAACAGAACCAATTTCCTATGAAGTATATATTAATTTCCGAACTCGTTTCCTATTTATCTTTTTTCTTTATGATGAGATTAATTTTTTTCATTTTCTTGCCTTCAGTGTTCCTACTATCCTCTTGGAAAATCTTGTACTGGGAATTCTACCGCAACTCATTATCTAGCATACAAGTTCAAGCGTTACAGAGGATTAGTGGGATCAAACTTTACTTGCTACATAAACGAACTCGAAAACCCAAATCTGGTTGTTGCAGAGAAAAATAATCAAGATGCAGCCAAACTCGTTCTCTTTATTCTCAGCGTTTTGTTTTTCTTTTTTCCATTGATAGTCATGAATTGCTTTTTCTTTTACAAGTGGAGACTCGTGGCTTATCTTCGACTAACTCTGACGAGACATCATCGAGTATCAGTGGCTACCTCGTATGGAGACAACAAAAGAAGGGATACTGCTTTCACTACCGCTAATTTCCATATAGAATAACAATTATGAATATTACAGACCTCTCTTTAGCGCACGCCCCTTTCTAAGTCGACCAGTTTTCAAATGTTCTCTAATATTTACGTAAAAACAAGAGAGCATCAATATGTTGTATGTCTTGGTAAGAAAACTCACTATTGATCAACTGGGAATGAGTTATTTTGTTTCAAGTAAAATCTAGCGAGGGGGTTCCCGCAGTAAAAGTGGTGAGATCCAATAGTTTAGTATTGATGTACTATCTTATAGCCATCTCTCCTGCTTGTTATCATGGAGGATGCAGTTCAGCTAAATCATATTTCTCAAGTCCCGCTGACTTTCCAATTATTTCTGAGCTAGTACAGATTTGCACAATTTTTGTCGTTTTTCTCGCTCCATTGTCATTTATATCAGAATTGATTCCCTCATTTCCGATGACACTGTCTTGTCTTTCCTGATCTCCACTGCTTCGGAAGAATCAAAGGACTTTGTTCTGCTCGCGGGGTATTTACAGTAAAATGACCGCTGTGTCAGAGGCATAAAACTATATTGCAATCGTTGCAACTATAATTTTATTGTTACAGTCCTCGCCTAGCTCGTAGGCTGCTCATTGAATAGGAAAGGTGCATTTGACGCAAAAACGGAGAGGCTAGTGAAACTAAATGCAAAGACCTTAAACTAACAAAGAAAGAAAGACTTCAGCAGTTGGAGGTTCATCATTTACCCACAACACGCTGCTCAAAGCTCACCAAGAGTGCAAAACGAGGCCAGATTGTCTATCCGGCTGCAAGTGACCAACGAGTCTATCTGAACCATGTATGCCGACATGGTCTCGTCTTTCAGTACATACAAACCATCAGAACAACATAAGTCAACAATATTCATGCGACTTGGTGATAAAAAGTAAAAAAGTAATGTGAATAGCAAAAACGTGAAATAATTTAATTAAATCTGGGTTGGCAGACAAAAATAATGAGGCATACTATTTTACAATGATTGTCAGAACCGAAGCCTTGTATTTACGACAATCCAAGTAATTCAGCGCTATCTGTATATACTGTATCTCTTATATTCCCGACACCCCTTCAAATAAAGTAATAAAAAAAAAAACAATAATTGATATAAGCCCCACTTGAAGTTCAAAAGAAAACCTAGACGATTAGTTGAGATGTTTTGGATTGTATCAAGGATTGTAATAATGGGAAAATCAACATATATTGATTCACGCGACATTTGTTAAGATATAGGTAGACAGATGTATAGTCAGAAGTCTCCAAAATGTTTTAGAGTGATTTAGTACTCCACTAGTCGATAAAAACAAAAGAAAACAATGGATCATGGATCATTACAGGAAAGTCAGTCACCTTATGACCCATGGTACCATTTTTTCACTGGTTACTAAATAAGATCACTCTACTATGCCCCAATCGGGCGTTCGTTACACAGTGTCAAGAAAACAGAGTTCTTTAAATAGCACGCATGCACAAGGATCGAGTAAGCTTCATGTTGCAAAGTGCTTATCATTTCATTCAGTTAGAGTCAGGACAGTGAATGAGTTACTGCATGCTATATACAGGGGATAGATTACGAAGGAATGAATACAGATATAGAAATATAGAGGGACAAGTGAATGGGATAAGTGAACACAAGGAAGAGCACGTCGAGTTGTTTGTAGGAGTACAGTGTAGTTTTAGAAAACAAGATCAATTGTGAACATGTTAGTACTCCCTCAGTATAAGAAAAAAACAGTTGTAAAAGCCGATGGGTGAGTAAATGGATAATAAATGAAAGAGAAGGTAAATTATTGGAGGAGAAGGGGGAGGATAAGTAGGTGGATGGACACATGGATGGATGAATGAATGAATGAAAAAATGTCATTTGTTTCAAATGAACGTGCTCATCTATCAGTTACTGATAGTTTATTATTGAGAGGATATTGTAAATAACACCTGGATATGCACGACTGAGAGATATGCCATCTGACAATCTATTAAGCCAGTTCCTCACCCATTAAAAGACAACATCTTAGTTTTAATCAACACAAAAAACATAATGATCAGTAGGTATTCGTATAAACGTGATAAAGGAACAATCACTTTTAGTTCGAGGTTTACTAGTGGCGTTTATCCTTACATAAACTTCTTATAACGATTAATGGTTACTTATAGATACAGTTAAGCCCAATGACAAATGACCAACATGATAAATTGGAATAATAGATTACTGCGCTTGATTAACCAATCGTGAGGGGAATAATTCTACAAACACGTATTATCCCTTCAGAAGTAACCCTGACCGCAGCCAGTGTTGATTGAAGACCGTCTAGTGTGGTTAGTACACACGATATTTTTCAAAGTTAATTCACATGGGTCTTTAAAAGCCTAAATTTAAGTGGAAATTCATGACAACCTGAAGTGAATGTCTAACATGTCTAACAAGGGATATTATGAATTTTAATGTTTGTAATTACCGTAGTGACGTCAGTTGATTCATAGACTTATATTTGCTGTTTAATTTGGATGAAGACGAATTGGTCTTTTTTCGTGATAGAAAATTCATTTTAAGCGACGAAATAAGGTCCATCTTTTATTTGACGCAGGACGAGTGTTTATAGTATCGAGAAAAAAGGAGAGACACAATTCATTGAGTTAATCCAAGATTTGTTGAAACCAAAGGAACCGTCAGCATCACACTCGACTGAACAGGGTGCCAAAGTACTCTTCGGCTAGGACAGATACTTGCATGGCGAATATCAAGTATTCCTATGTTTTCTGGGGCCTTTTTGGCGTGTTTATTCTAGCTCTATGGATTGCTTTGTATGTAGGCTGTGTCATCCCCATCGAAAAGAGCGAAACATTTAGAGCTACACAGTGTAAAACTATTTACAGTAGAGATGTGGGTCACCAAAAGTGTCCATGTACGTCGAGTTCTGATGACGGATGTGGCAAGTCTTATTCATGTTTACAGATCTTTGTGAGCTTCACAGTACAGTACCATAACACTTCCACGCCTCAGGCTAGACGAGGATTACTTCACTTTGCAGAAAACATTCTCCATAGTAATGTAAGTATTGGAAATTTTTTCAGTCCTAAATGTTCATTCTTTGTCATCGTAACTAAATCGTTTCTCAGTTCCAAGATATCGATCGATCGATGATATCTTAACAGGTATTGCTTTATTGATATACACCCAGGCAAACGTTATAATAAGAAGTCGATAGGATTGAATAATTAAATAAAAATTATGAAGGATTACAGTTAAGGGGTTGGAATAATAGACAGCATCTTCAGATAACGAGTAAACAATCGAAAATCTTATGGATTAATATCGAAGGTTCCTCTGCTATTTTGAATACTTTGGTTCATCAGTTTTGATTCAATTAACAACCATCACGAAAATCGCGTGAGGGAAATTCAATCATCGATTCTAATCTACAGTTTATACATAAGTAATTAATGTTATATATAAAAACTCTAATACACCACCAGTTGTATAACCTTTATTGTGTTTGAGACGTTGTTCATAGTAGTAAGCAACTTTGAAACAGCAGTAGTTGAGGTAGTACCTGAACACACTGCAGTTACGGTTTCGAGGGAAATAAACATTTTGACGAGTGTTAATCGTTTATTTTTTATTTGTTGCAGTGTTCTTACGAGCCCTTCTGTGAATCGAGCCAGGATCTTATAGATATCGAACTACTTTCGTATTTCTACAAAAGAGGCAAAAATGGAACCGTTTTTTCTTGCTATTACAACGAAGAAAATGAGACTCAAATCATTGAAGTTAACTATAACGGACGTAGACTTGCCATTCTTTTGCCATTTGCTGCTGTTTTTATTGTATCAATCTTAGTGGTTTCAGTGCTTTTATGGCGTCGTGGTTGTGGTTGTAACAGAAAACGGAGGCCATCCAGACTTAGTTTTGTTACTGCAACAGATGAATTTTAAGTATGTATTACTCATGAGACACCACAAAAGCCATTAACAAACGGATCTATTTCCCGTACGTCAACGCCAGCCATGAGGCTGTTAATAGAAACATTAAGTTCAAAATATGACTAATCTTCCATTACTTTACCCTAAATAATTACCAACCCTGTCTTTTGTCGCACTTAGAGCGATAAAACAAAAATCATATAAAAGTATCTTCTGGACACAGGAAAAAAGGTCCTGTCGGATTTCCTGAAAACGCGTCTACCAAAATCATTCTTCCAACGGAAATCGATTGACAAGAGTTGTACTAATAGTTCGTAACTTAATCACGATGAAAATATACCATTCATTTATTTACGTCATTGCACCATTGAAACAGGATCTGCTGTTCGATGTAGGGCATATACAGGCATATACATATATCTATAGCCTAGGAGCAGGTGTGAAATCTGGAAAGAAATTGCTAGAATGAAGTAATGAGAAATGGTTTCAAAATAATGACTAGACTAACAAGTCTGGGGGGCAATGAAACCCGCCTAAAGGATTTGTTATCAAAATCATCTTTTTCATTAATGATAGAACGTTTGCATGATGGCGTCATGTCACTTCCTCTACCAAAATGCTTCACTAATTTTTTTTCATATTATTAAAATTTGTACTCCCATTCAAATAACAGGCTTGTTTCCTATATTTATGCATTTGTGTAAACTGTAAGTAGTAAAATGTGCATAATTAATGTAAACGGACTAATTTTTTWAATTCTATCTTCTTTTTATCATCACACCTGTGTTGAGGGAAACTTAGCTTTCACTGAAGCCCCAGCGCCGAGTTGCCCCAGAGTACACGCTTTACGTTGGGTTCCCTTTGGTATAAATTTACCGCGTTCGCCCTGAAGACTAGTAAGCTTTAAATAATGGTTTGATGAATTTCGAAAATTCCAGTAAAGAATTAAAATTAATTGTAAAGTTTTTTTCTGTGTTATATCAGCGAAAGGAAGTGAAAATGAATAAATTTGACATCATAGCGAAGTAATTCAAATTTTATCGTCCTTGTCATAGCTTTATATCTGCGTCACTCAAGGCCATAAGGGTTTTACTTTTAATTATTGATTATTATTAGCCTAAAAACAGAGAAAAACAATTGCAAATAAGACAAAAGGACAAATAAACGGTAGTGGCTACCTATTTTAAGAACAGTCAATATAAAAACCTAAATTTCACTTWATTTTTGTATCGGAAGTCACCGTAGTGTAGCGGTTATCACGTGTGCCTCACACGCACAAGGTCCCCGGTTCGATCCCGGGCGGTGACACTTTTCTTTTTTCTTCCTTATTTGAAACAAGTTTGTCTATTTTGGAAAATATAATACTGAAATGATAATATTAAAAAAGCCTTTAAAAGTTAATTTGATTTTTATAATATTTTATTTTTAATTATAAAATTCATGACTAGTTTTTCCAGACGCTTCAACGTTTTCCCAAAAGTCATTCTCAAGGACATTTTATATCTTAAACAATACATTCTGGTTAAAGTCTTTTTATTAAAGGAAAAACTTCATTACAAGTTAATTAATTTAAAAAACGATCAATACATTGTCTCATATGATTAGATATCTTTAAGAGTCAGCTTGTCTTCTGTGTGGAATGTGTTTCCTATCCTTGCTCGCAGTCTTCTTCCTTCTCTTACTTAGGTATTTTTCTAGTTTACCAGAAGACTTCAACTTCTTATATTTTTCTGCTAATTCTAATTTCTTTCGTTCGGCTATGGAAAAAAAAAAGGAAAAAGGAAATAAATTATAAAAAATTAAATTATTTATTATTTATCATTGATCAAAAGTTAGGCAAATAATGTGATGGCCTCATGCTCCTTCAGGTGGGAGGAGCAATAATGATAATGATTGATAAATAATAATCAAATTAAAAATAACACAGATGCAAAAGTGTAACATAATATCAATTTTTAGGAATCTTACATTTTTTCAAGTAAAAGGGTTTTTTCCCCTGCTTCACAAGTTCCATTTCTTCTTTCTTTCTCTTCCTTCTCTCCTCATCTTTCATTTTCTTTTTCTTCTTGGACTCTTCTTGTTGTTTCTGAAGGTTATAATATAATTGTCATCCAAAAAAACTTGCTTCGATTTTAATTGCTCTTAAAAATCCCTTACCATTCTTTTTAACAGCATCTTAAGTGTCTCTTTTCTTTCAGCATTTTTTGTCTTCATCAATTCTTTTTCTATTTCCTTTAATGAAAAATATTATCTATAAGTGGCATAGAGCACATAATGCTAATACAAAGCAACTGAATGCCAATAAGAGGACATACATATTTTTCATACTATGAGGATTTGAAGCAGGCTCCTTTTTTTCTCAGTCAAATTTTTGCAGGTTACAAAACTGGGGGCATTTTATATTTATGATGTAAAAGGGGGGGGGGGGGGTAATATTAGTTTTGTAAAGAAGAGGGCTAAAAATATAGTGATTTAAGAACCTAGAATCCACATAGCCCTCTCCCCTACAGAAATAATAAACAGTCCTACCTTCTTTTCATTTGCTTTCATTTCATCTACAAAGCCGTAAGCTTTGCTGAACATTTCTTCATTTAATTGTCCTGACAGGTCATCAAACCTTGGATCCCTGGCAACCTAGAAATTAACCATTATTTTGTCTTTAGTAGGAGTAAACAAGGGAGATGTACAGTGTAATTAAGTAAAGCTTTTGAATGAAGAATCCATATTATAAGAAATAGCAACATATTCAACAACTCTTTACCAATCACATGCTGGATCCACATTTTATTTTAGTACCTTTTTCTTTACTGCAACAACTTGTCGTATTCTTGAAACTTTCTGTTTTGATGAAATCTCTAGAGGACTACRATGAAATATTAATGATCAATCATTAATTTGTGATGATAATAAATTACATGAAGATTTTTGTAATGGTTGAATCTCAAGACCAGGTCATATACATACTTGTTTTTGCTTTTCTTTTTTGTTTTGCTTGAAGTTTTTTCTGTGTTTTTTCTGTCTTCAACAAAACCATGGATGGCTTCATTATATCTGTAATATGGACGGTAAAAGTCAATTAAATTTTAAATAAATTGATTTCAAAAGTAAGTAAATGGTTAGGTGTTATTTACCTTTTAGATCCTACTTTATTTCTCAAGTCTTGTAATTCACAGAATGGAATCTGTGACAACTCTATAATAATGATTGATAAGGTTAAATTTCTTTTTAAACATCTTTCACGCAAAACGACTCAACATTGTTTGAATTCTTTTATACATATAAGTGTAGATATTTCTGTTATCTATACAAGAAGACCTTACCTGTCCTCAGATGACTCTAAAAAGGAAAACAAAAGAAAGCAATGGTTAGATCTATAGGCCTACATTTCAAAATTACCATGAATTCTATTTTGTAATGTACCATGTGCATGATCACTACTGATCATAACTTACTAGTTTGTCGTCATCCTCGTTGGCTTTCACAGCTCTTTCCTCTATATCACTTTCTTCACTACTTGACGAACTCCCATCCCTATCCATAGCTAAAATCCTATCCTCTACAGACGTTTAATATTGAAAACTGTTTAAATATCAGTCAGACAACAGTGTGTGGATGGACGCCATTTTGTTTAAAGGTATGAAACTGCTGGTCAAACAGACAGTCAACTCATCATAATTTGGCGCGGAACTTAAAGTCCCTGGGCACGAGTATGGTTTTGAGTATGGTTTTGAGTAGAGTGTTCTTGAAACATGGACGCTTTTATGAAAGCATTTAAATACTATAAACAACGAAAACCACCCCCTGATTTATCCCACGTCATAGACTTCGAAACACCAGACAAATATAAAGATATGGTAAGACTTTAGAAGATAGAATAAAATGAATGAAAATGAGTCAATCATATTGATGTTGCATGTTTTTGTACTAGGTTGTGCCTGTGTCTGTAAGCTCATTAGATGATGATAGAAGGTTGTCAAGTCTTGGACTGAGAAGTGGCTCTGAATGGGAAATATTTTCTGTCAAGGACAGTCCTGGTAAGTATTGCTGGTTTTCAATCATTCCCAAGAAAATGAAATAACAAAAGACAAGGTGGCCATGTTGGATGATATGACAAAAGAGACTAATGACGGATCTTTTTTCAAATTCATCCAACATGGTGGCTGTGAAAACCATCAATACCACATACACAGGAAACCCAACACACCATTATCACTCTAGTCTTTGCAGCCTTCTAATGTTTTTTAACTATAGTATAGAACATCTTGACACTACTAGTGTTCTTGTGCCTAATTCAATGTGTCCCATTCATTTTCTAATGGCCATTTTCTTCACAGTCCTCCAGAAACAGTTCCAACCCCCCTTTCTTTACCTCGCTCATATATATATCAACCTCTCATTTATGATGCATAAAGCATAAACCTTGAATACAATGTGAATTCAATAACATTTATATCTTGTTTTATTCAGGGTTTTTTTTCATCAAGAATCCATTTTTACCCGGTGTGCAGTGGGATTTGGTTACAAGGTGTTTGGAGGTTTATTTATGCAAACCAAACATATCCAACCTTGATGCCCACATGGAAATCAAAACCAGCATCTGGGATAGCAGTCAGGACAGGTGAGACATTGCAGCTTTGTCGTTTATAGCCAAAACTAGCTTTTCTTGGTTCCTTTGCAGAAAGGGAAGGCAGAGAAAGGAAATGCTGCCATATTTAGCTTTACAGCAAAAGCTGAATCATACCTTACCATGTATGTTGGGGACCCTGCCAACCAACTTATCTTTGAATTTTTGTTTCATCAGCTTAGACAAAAAGTCGCCTCTATATAAACTACGTTGGGTTACTATTGGATACCATTACAACTGGGATACTAAGGTACGAACACTTTGCTATTATAAATTTCTTCATTTCCTTTTAAACCACAACTTTTCTAAAAGTTAACTATGATACCAAGTTTTTAAATGTATGTTGTTGGTTTTGTAGACCTACAGCCCAGACAACAAGTCAGACTTTCCTCAAGACTTAGACCAATTGTTTGTTAGAATTGCAAATACATTAGGATATGAAAAGTAAGTTAAAATGTTTTATTGAAAAAAAAAAAGAAAGAAGGAAGAAAGGAAGGACGGAAGGAAGGAGTGGGAAATAAATGGATGGGTGGATAGATGGTTGGATGAATAAATGGATGGATGGATGGATGGATAAATGAATCAATCCATCAATCAATCAATATATCAATTATTAATCAATCAATCAATTATAGATTGATTAAGTGATTGGTTGTTTGCAGATTTTCACCTGAGGCTGGTATAATCAACTACTATCACCTGGACTCAACACTTGCAGGCCATACAGATCACTCAGAGTTTGACTTGGAAGCTCCACTTTTCTCTCTCAGGTATGTCTAAATATATTGCACTATTACAATTACCTTTCTAGTGCAATAGCCACTCATCAGGTGACTTTGAATGCAGGTTGCATGTTGTCTACATGTATACTATAATCCATTCAATTTTTATTGATAATGTAGATGAAAATAGTCTTCATTTACATTGTAAATATCATTTTAAAAAGCATCTTCAAATTAAACGCACTTCAGTTAAATTCAAAACATCACGTCACCACCGTCATCAAATCACAAAATATAAGTTATAAATAAATTGTAATTTCTCAAGCTTACATAAATCTTTTTTGGCCCCTATCATTCTCTATCATCTGGCCACGAAACAAGTCGTAATTGTTTCATTTTCCCTATCCAGTCTTGGCCAATCAGCAATCTTTCTTCTTGGCGGGAAAAGTCGCGACGACGCGCCTGTTCCTATGTACATGCGCAGTGGAGACATAATGGTTATGGCGGGAAAATCAAGGTTAGCGTATCACGCTGTACCACGTGTTTTATCTCCGCCCAGTGATCAGAAGTCGATTCCTTCTTGCTTGAAACCACCGTGTTTTGACCAGAGTCAACATAAACTACTCTCTTGTCCATCAAAGGCCATGGACACAATTTCAACGAATGAACAATCTGAACACAAAACAGTGCGAAGAGAAGCAGGCGAACTGTTAACTAAAAGGAAGAATCTTGATGGTGAAGAATGTGCTTCAGGTGTGAGCTTATCTCTCGAGAAAACAGAAACTGATCTAATCTTGCAGTACTTGTCCTGTTCAAGAATAAACATCAATATCAGACAGGTACTTCGAACTGGTCAAAGCTTCCCAGTAGATCGAATTACGTAGCTTGTTAGTGTATTCTATGCCGATTTGGGTCGCATCAGTACTGCCGCAATTTCGATGACAATTTCCAGAAAACGCGCCWTAAAATCCTATGGGTATCTGGTCGTTCCGATCCGGGAAATAATAATATTTAAGTTGTATTTATGAGGTGTAGTTAGAGATGGTTGGCGAAGGAGCGCGATCGAGGCCTGATGTATCACCTGGCACGAATTAGATACGCCAGGTCATTTTATGAGGCTCCAACTTCAAGTGCATTGCAATAACTGATTGAACTACGAATCATAGTGGTAACTGCGTCTCGTATTGTTTTCATCTTTTATTTCTTCCAAAGGTATAAAGTGAGATTTTTACGAGTCTAGCCGAGTTTGGGGGAAATTTGTCTGTAAATATATCTTTTAATCTTACAGCACAGTTCTTTACACAAGTAGTTTGAGATAAAAATACATGCAGTTAATAATAAATCGTTCAATGAATTGATTATCGCCCCACATCAATATTGACAGTGGCGTCATCTATTTTGCTTACATTTTTCGGTATTTGAGATGATTTTTTTTCTACTTTAACCCTTCTTCGAATCCATTGCGCCTTCAGCTCTGACTGATAAAGGATTTTAGCGGAGATGGTGAAGGCTACCAGTATGATGAAGCCGACAAAGATGATGATTAGAGGGAGGAACAATGGATGATCCTTAAGCCTAGTAAAGGTACCTTTTTGCGGTGGATCTTGTATGGACTTCATCTTATTGTGTTGATCATCTGTGTTTTCTGATTCAATGCGACTTATTCTGCTGCGAAAAACATTTGTATCCTCGTCTCTTCGATTTCGGTTCAAGACTTGTTGATTTGGTTCTTCACGCTTTTCATGCATATTAGATTTTGGATCTTTTTCAACGTTTTCTTCCCAAGTTTTCTTGTCACATTCTGGTGGTGACTGCCATCCTTCATTACACACGCATAAACCTTTCAAAGTACACTTTCCACGTTCTGTGGAGCAATGTGTTTCACAAACTTCGTAATTTGCTATAGTTTCCTCTGTCATACATGTGCCGTCCGCACAGACGCCTCTATTCAAACCAGACCCACAAAACGTTTCCTCGTCGGCGAACCTGTCTGGTGGACAAGCACTCGACAAACCTGTGCAGATTTCGCTCACATCACAATCATCCACAGCTTCTCGACAAACTGTCCCATTGAGAAGAATGTTTCCATCCTTACAGCAAGCTCCTTCTGCACATGGAAGACTATTTACATATGGTAGAGTCACGATAACGCCTATTGCGATAAGGAAAGAAAACCTCATTATTTAGAGCTTCAGTTGATTCACATTCTGCCGCTTTTTTTTTTCTTTTTTCTTATTTTTTCTTTTTTGTCAACTTATTTCAAACAATCACGTATGACGCTCACGTCAAATGAAATTGATCTATGACGTAATCAAATAACCGTACGCGCGTGCCGTGCGCATGCGTAATTCAAACGAATTAATTTTTGGTTTACAAAACACGTGCGCGTTTCCATGGTGCTATTCTCTATAATATTCCAGAATATTTGAAAAACGCTTGTCGCATCTCTTTAATTTTTCAGCGCGCGCAGTGTATCAAAACGATCAACCAATCAAAGCAAAGAAGCAAAATACTTCCACGATGCAATATTGGGATTGAGAAAAAAGTCATGCGATTTTAACTCAAGTGATTTTAACTCACTTACACTAAACGAAACTACAACCCATTTGGATATGTTTGTTAATATTATTATTGTGACCCTCACAGTTCTTATTTTTATACATTATATCAATCATGATTTGTTGCGTTTTGATATGTCTTAGTTTTGAAACGTACATATTATACTTATTTATTTTGGTGCAAGTTTGATAAATAAATAGATTATTAACAGTGTTGTATTTGTTATCAACTTGCCTTGCATGTGGTCTCTAGTTTGCGAGTGTTCGTGTCACAGATAATAGTATCATATCTATTTATTTTAATTTATTTTATCTAAAGTGCGTCCTGTAGGGAAGTAGTGCCTAGCATGGGACTTAGAATCACGTTCGCGCTCTCGTCGTCATTCACGTATACATGTACATCATTATAGCTATTACCCAATAAAGTTGAATATTGTCAATAGTGTAATATGCACCTTTGCTAAAGATAGTGTGCCTGCTAGTCTCGTGTGCACGTTTTATTTTAGCTCGGCATATTTTAAGTTTTGGATTATTTCTTAAAGTAAACCTTAATAATGTTTTGATTCTAGCTGTTCTTTTCTTGGCATGTGTCTTTTGTTCTTGATTCAATGGTCTTTTTCAAACAACGAAGTCTCTCTTCTCTGTGTCTTCTTTTCATTTCGCGATAACTACTTGAAAAAGCCTCATAAAAGTCGTTTATCATCGCCCTTGCTTCTTGGATTCTTTGAATTCGTTGAAGTTCTTAAAACGAACAAAATCATGAGTTTTGTGTTGGAGTAAAAAGGTCTTGGCTAAGAGTTTGTTGACAGCGCGCACCGTTTATCATCACATCATGTTGTAAATATATTTTAGTCTTACCTTGCGCACGTGGTTGTACAGAGTGTTTTCGTCGTAAAAGAAGCGCATAAGTTAGTCCAGACATGACTGCGCCAATAAGTGCTAGACCAATGTACTTGTAAAGATATTGAAAATACTTGGAGCTTGGGTCAAATATCATGGATGACATTTCCTCTGCTGCGCTCTCTTCAGATACCTGTAACACATAATGACAACATGAATATCTGCTTCACCTCTGCTCTACCCCCTTGGTATCTTAATAAGTCTTAATAAGTCTTCTAACCCAATCTCCTCCCCTCCCCTGACAGATTCCTTTCACCTCAATCAAACTGATGAAAAAATAGTATAGTATATTTATAGCATAAGAAAAGCGACTTGACTTACGCCTGGTTGCTTGAGGTTTCCTTCGATAATTCTGCTAATTTCGTCTTTGTTAAACTTTAAATAGTTGTTAAAACATTTGCGTAGCTTGTCAGTTTTTCGCTCTAATGCGACTCCATATACACTTTCATACGGTAACAACTGCCTGGTGATCGGGGGGCCACCAAACTGCGATGCAGAGAAGAGCTCTGGGTGAGATGTAGCAATATACGTGTCTACCAGAATCCCCTGTATTTCCTCTGATATGAGAGCATCGTTCAGGTCCTTGTAGCTGTAATACTCTGATTCTAGGAACAGCGTAATAATTCAAAATCAGTGGAAGTGATTAAAATAACTGCATAATTTAATACTTTCTTGATTTGTTGGTGGGGGGGGGGGGGTGCGTGTGACGTCATAGCCGCCGTATTTGGTATCAGTCCCTAGAGAGTTCTGATAATAGAGATGGCAGCCATATTGGTGTACATGACAAAGTTATTGTCAAAGGAACACCAAAATGGCGGCTGTGACGTCATGTGAAAACGCTTTATTGGATCCTATAGTTATGTCAACCAACATGGCGGCCATGTCGTTTTTGTTGAGTTATCCTTATTCAATTTGCTATTAAAGCTTTTGTAACAGTAGTTATTTTAAGACCTGGTCAAGTGAATCCCAAGTGCATTAAATATTTATCTTTTAAATTTTTGAAAGAAATCTTCTCACCAGTATTGACCAGTGCGTTTCTTCTGACTGCGATGCTATACTCAAATGACCGTGTTATTGCTCCAACCTGTCAAACAGATAAGGATATTATTGATAAATATTTATTGTTGCTGCTGTTGTTGCCGTTGCTGCTGTAACTATCATTGTTGGTTGTTGTTGGTGTTGTTGTTTCGTCAGTTGTCATTGCTTTTGWTGTTATGTTTTTTTTACTGCCAATTGTTGAGGTTGTTGATAGTTTCCTGACATACCTTGGTCATATATAGAGTCTTTTTACTCGCCATAATAGTCGTCACCACAAAATCACTACTCAAGTTTGCTGTTATAAGAGATATCAATATGAATCCAGACAGCATGTTAACTAAAGTCAGAATACGCGCCCAGAAGGATTTGGGAGCGCGGTCTCCATAACTGAAATACACCAAGATAAAAGACACATCTGAATATATATCCTATGACTCTACTCTTTAATTAACCCCTCCCCCACCCACTGATAGTCAAAATACTACTTTCCTCCCTCCCCCCACTGGTAGACCAAATACTACTTATCCCTCCCCCCACTGATAGGCAAAATACTACTTACCCCCTCCCCCACTGATAGGCAAAATACTACTTACCCCCTCCCCCACTGATAGACCAAATACTACT